TCGGTGGCTCTCATCCCCAGCAGCCGGCCGGGGAGGTGGAGATCGGGTACCAAACCAGGCAGGTGCGCTGTGTGCGGAGCGATGGGAAGCACGTGGAGCTCAGGTAAGGCTGATTCCCGCTCCTGGCATCCCCGCTGCATTTGTGTGATGGAGCCCTGGCTCTGCCTGGCAGCGCCACGGTGAATGAATCCCATTCTCGAGTTTTAAACACAATTTTTAATGTGTTTTCTTTATGAACCTTTTCTTGATTTAATTCCTTTCTAGCGTATGTTGAAGATTTTGCATTCTTCTACGATTTGTGACTGTTTAAATTCATTTTATAATTTTTAATAATTCTCTTCTGGGTCTCTTTTTTGTTGTTGTTGTTTTGAGGAAATGGAATTATATATCACTTTGTGCTGTTGCTGGGCCCTGGCTGTGGGAGAGGGAGGATCCATTCTCAGTCATGTACTGCATATATTTGGTATAAGAGGCTAAGATTGCATCAGCTTAAACTCCTTCATTCTTATGAATCAATACAGAGTAAAATAAATCTCAGATATTGTGAATGTGCTAGAAGGTATATTTTGGAAAGAAATCAGTCAGTAAACCTGGGATTGTTATTTTTATTGAGGAGCCTTCCTGTCTGGATGTAACTCTTGGGTGCTGGTACAGCGTAGGTGACTGGCACGTCCATCTTGGATACAGGTTTTTGATTTCTGTCCTTATCTAATGTTTTTTCTAATGATTACTCTTTCTCCTTATATATATAGGTTGCTTTGCTGTAATTTGAATGTGAAGGTTACAGTAATGTTCAGCAAATAATGGAAAGATTTATCCTTTCTATTTCTCACATATAAATTTAACCTGAGCTCTGCTGTTTGACTTCAGGTTGGATTTGGGTAGGTGCCAGTAGCTACAGATGACTGATAAATTGATTGACTTATGAGAAAGTCAGAATTTCTGGAGATCTTATTGTGTTCTGTTTTTCAAGGAAATTAGAAGTTCTTGAAAAATCCTTCTCTTGAATTTTGCAGAAATCAATCTGTTTCTCAATAATTCATAGCTCCTGGCACCTGCACAAACTCAAATGGCAGAGAGAAGGGGTTATTTTACATCCAGTTCTCTACCCCTGTTAATTTCTGCAGTGTTTTTGCACACACACTGAGGTGAAAATATGAATTCTAACTGTTTTTCTTACCCACTCCTATTACACCCATAGCCAAGTATGAAGTATTTTTTTTTATCACTTGGAAAAAAGTCAGGCTTTGTGAAATGTTCCAGCAGTTTCTAACATCTTGACTTTATTACTCGTCTCTTATTATATGCCGATTCTAAATATACAGATTTTATGCTCATGTAGCTGCTTGACTTTAATGGAGTCACTTGTGATTTATTCCACAGTGTGACCAGCAGCAGCTTTATGTCTGTTAACACTTGTTAGCTTTCTCCTGCCTCTTGCAACTCATTTCTTATCAGAGGCTCTGGGAGGGCAATCCTGATTTTGTTAAAATTTCACTTGCTCTGCCCTCACACACTCACTGCTATATTTGCTCTAATAATGGAAATGGAAACTTTCTATAAATGTTTTCTGTGTTATACACTGAGTTTCTGGATGACAGTGCAGAGTTTTAGTTTTAGTGACTATCCTTGATCGAGCTGTCTTTTTCCTTGTTCCTTTCTGAGTTTTTTGCTGATCTAGCCCCCTTTTTGGGAGTGTACAGCTCCATTAGCCACCTCCTGGCAGTCTTTTTCTGCTGAGCTTGTGTCTCAGATTTACTGCAGAGCTGGGCCTGACCCATCCTTTACTCTTACTCTAAATGCAAGAGCAAAGCCCATTGATTGAGTAGGGGAGAAAAGGTCATGTCATGTTACAGCATCCAGACACTCACACACTTCTCCTTTCTCCTTTTGGACCTAAAATTCAAAGCTAAAAATCCAGCCCCAAATCCACTCCCTGTTTGGTTCCAGGGCTGCAGTGTCACCGATATCAAATCCTCCTGACAGTGACTCCCTCTAAGCATCCCCTGGTGGTGTCCTCCTCGTTTTGTTGTGCAGCAGATTTGCTGCCGTTCTTCTGAAGAGCAGCCCGATCTTACAGATGTTGCTGTACAGCACCGCTGGTATTTTGGCTACTGATAAAGAAGAGTAAATGCATTTGCATAACCCCGTGGTGGGGACTGGCAGGCAGCCAAGTGTCTGCTGTAAACCAGGGGAGAAGTGCCTTATTTGTGCTCCTGCATTTTCCTGGCTGATGTTTCCCTTTTTTACTAACGTTGCTAAGCAAGCACCACTGTAAATTAAACTTGTGGAAAACTGAGGGAAAGCACAGGAATATCCCAAGATGTGCTTTAAGAGCAGGCTCTGAGCTGTTGGGCTTTGCCTTCCACCAGTGCCCAGTTCTTGCAGGTGACAGGAGAGATCAGCTAACCACCACCAGAGCAGAGGGGCCACATCCTCATCCTGCTTCCTAATTCCTAATGAAATGGCAAAGATGCCCAATTTATTACCAAGGTTGTTTAATTTGCTGGTGTCTGACTGCAGGGCTGTAAATAGGAATTACTGGGAGAGGAGCAGGAGCATGTGGAAGGCTGGACATGCCATGCCAGGGAAACAGAGCTGGGGATGTTTTTGATTTAATATCTTTTCAGTCTGGAGGTCCTGCATTTCTCAAAAGAGAAGGAAAAGGGACAAAGGAAGAGGAAAGGGAGGGACAGACCTTTTTGAAAACACCTGAAGTGACAACAATTGAACAGCCAAACATCAGTAGGCTTTGAGAGGGTTTGCTTTTGCTCAGAAACGATTTTGGTGTAGAAACGTTATATTCATGGAAATAAAAGGGGTAACATCAAAATAGAATGATGTTATGGATCTGGTTTGAACCTTTTAAAGACTTTTCTTTATTTAAAAAGTTGGAATTTTTTTCATACTATTTCAGATAGAATTCAAGTTTCGTTTTAGTTCAGAAAAACGTTATGGTGTTGCCTTAAGCCTTACATTCAATAACAGATTCAAACACAACCACTTAGATGCATTAAAAAATAAAAAATCTCTGAAAAAAGATGCAAGAAACAAATGTGAAAAATGCTACTATTTTTGCTTTCCTGTCTTGTCACAGTTGTAAAAATCTACAGAATAATGAGACAAAGCCACTTGAGTTCCTTCCTTTTTTTTTTTTGAATAAAAGGTTGTTTAGGTTAGATACTAAATTGCAGTTTGGTAAAATAAATGTGCATAGTTAGACATTGAAATTCGAAATAAATTTAACCTGATTTTCTAACCTGATGTGCTCAACTAAGCATACTGAGAAGTTAAAGTCAGGAGCAAACACTTTGAAAAGCATTTTTTTATTATTATTATTTGGATTAGGAGTCTTTTATGTACATATTTCTTAAACTCTTCACTCTATGTGTAAAATGACAACAGTGATATAATAGAGTTGGATTTGGGTTTCTGTTTACTTTACTTTGTAAGTGAAAATTCAGGTCAAACTCAGTCAAGGGACAATCCATCTGTCAAAGCGGAGGTGGAGCAGCATTCAACTCTTTTGTTTGCCTCTGTAATTTAAATTTCCATTATCCATTTCCTGGTGGACTGTGCTTAACCACTTTGCTGTTGTATGTTTTTAGGAAAAAAATATTTGCAGTTTCAGTGTTGACATTTTTCTGTTCTCTGGGTGAATACAAAATTCTGCAGTCCGGAGGTGAAAATGCTGTGCTGTAAAATGCTATTTGATGGTTGTGATTCTGATCTGGGAGAGAAATTCTATGTTCACATTCCTCCTGGCAGATGTAGGAATCAAGCCTCAGTGCTCAGGCTTGAAAACAAATCCCTGAGCTGTTGGAGAAGAAGAATATTCTTTTCAAAAGTTTTGTCTCTCATTTCTTTTGCTTTTATTTAAAAGCACAAGAAACAAAGTGAGGGCTTTTTTAATTTCCATGAGTAGCAATTTATTGGCCAGGCATTGGAATAGGCTGCTCAGGGGATGGTTCCAAAGGTGTGTGGATGTGGCACTTGGGGATATGGTTTAGTGGTGGACATGGCAGTGCTGGCTTCATAGTTGGACTCAGGGATCTTAGAGATCTGTTCCAGCCCTAATGGTTCTGGGGTTCAGTGATTTTAGAAGTGCTGTCCAATAATAATTGTGGTTTTTCTCTTGTTCCCAGACTGTGCTGGGAGGCAGCTGCCTCTGTAGCCCCAAGATCTCAGAGTCTGCCAAGGCAGTGCAAATGGAAGCCAGCATTTTATTTTTAATTAAAACAGAGGATCTGGTGCATGAAATTCTGGAAACACCAAAACTTTGACATCTTTACTGATGTTTGTTTGGATTATAGGTCTCCCAGTTCCCTTTCCCTTAGGTCAGGTTTATGGCAGGCAAATATTCCCCATCTTCACCAGCCTGGTGCAGAAGGGGCTGATGTTTCTTCTGCCAAAGAAACCTCTGCTGCACAGATTGAATATATGGTATCCAGAACAGTCCTGGCAGCACTTGAAGACCCTAAAATACATTAGGAATTCTCAGAAGTGTATTAGGAATTCTCAGAAGTGTGCCTGTTAACACTGATTGCCAATTTCTAAGGGAAATAAGTGTTTTAATGCTGTTAGAAGCATGGCAAGACTGTCCATTATGAGATGTTAATATTATTGACCAAGTGCAAAGAGCAGGCAGTGTGAATTCCAGCAGCCTGTAGGGCTGGGTCTTTAATTACAGAATAGGAGACAGTGCTGAAGAAGAAGAAGGAGGAAAAATATAAATGGGTTGTTAACTTAGCTCACTTCAAGATTATCTTGCTCTGCAGCAGGTGGGTTTGAACATGAGTTCCCTGGTCAGGCATGGGACTCCCCAGGAGCCTTCCTGAGCTGCTGGGGACAGCCTGGCTGTGGACGTGGCACCCTGTGCTCCTGGTGCTGCCCCTGTGCCAGCAGCCTGGCCATGGTGACAGCTTCTTAGTGTGCCCAGTTTCTTTGCAGAGGATGCTTTCAGCGTGAAGGGTTTAACAATAAGTGCCTGTCTCATCCTGTAAGTAAGGAAATGCATTCACCTGTGCTTCTGAGTGCCTTGGTACAGCTGGGAAGGGAAGCAGAGGTGACTCCTGTGCTGTGCCCAACCTGATTTACTGGTGCACAGCTCCAGGGTGGTGTTGCTGCTTTTTCCAGCTGATGGACCTGTTCCCACTCATTCCCATGTGGTGGATGTGATGGCTGTGTGACTGCAGGGCATGTAGCACACGCACTGAGCTGTTGGAAAATGTGCTATTTTTGGTGACTTGCTTCTTGTCCAGAGCAGGAAGGTGGTGTGGTTCAGCTCAGGGCTGCACAGCTCCTGTGTCTCATGGGTGTGTGTGGCTGGAGATGGAGGAGATCAGTGGTGCTGCTCTGGGGGCAGCAGCCTCAAGTGACACAGCCATGGGGATGTGGAGCTGCACAGTCAGGGTGGTGCCCTGGGCTGCTTTCCCTCCTCCTCTGCTGCTCTGCTCCAGGACTCTGGGAGTGTGAAACAGACGTGAGTAGGTTTCCTTCCTTGTGTTTTGTGTTTCTTTAATAAGTGGTTTATTGCCCTTCAGCACACAAGAGGCTCAGAGGGCACTGTGCCACTTGAGCGAGCTGTGCTCTGTGCTGCTGCTGGCTGCTCACTAATGGATCCATCCTACGCCACAGACACCGCAGCGTGGGCTGGGAAACAATTCCTGGGGTTTTACAGTGCCACTCCAAGCATGTAACACACAAAAAAGCAGCACTTGTGTAGTGTGTAAACTACAGTACTCTGCTGTATCACCGTTACCAGATCGACCCCCAAGTAGAAGATCTAACCTGAGACTTGAATATGTCGAAAATCAGTTTTAAACTGATTTTAGTCTATCACCAGGGCTGAGAGAGTACCTCCTGTCCCCAAGACCTCGTTCCTGTCCCTGCTGGTTTGGACACAGCCACAGCAGCACAAATGTCTGGTTTGCAGTCTCAGATCAGCGAGTGTCTCGCAGGTCTGGGCTTTATCTGTATTAGATCGTCCTAAATACATCTGCGACATGAAAGGCTGTGTCTGAATTTCATGCAAAAGAGTGTTTTTACATTTGTCTTTGTGTTGCTCAGTGTCACAATTAATTTGACTTGGAGGCTCTGAGTGAGTAGGTACAAGTTAATTAATTTTCTTTCTGTTCAGCGGTTGCTTGTAATTCTCCCTCAAAAGCCTACTTGAACAGGGTGGAAATTGCCAGCTCCATGTCTCATTCACCTTGAGGTCAACAAAGTTAGCATCTTGCCTTTTATAGCAGGAGCAGTAGGGGAGATTTTCAGGGAAAGGACCAGCTATTCAGCCTCTGGCAAAGGTGATTGATTTCTGGGCAGGGATGGCTTTCCCAGCCAGAGGATTGGCACAGGTCTGGAGAATCCATTAGGGCAGGTATTGTCTGGCTAAGAACTGGGACTGGCAAAGATCATTTGAACCAACACTCCAATCCAGATTTTTAAAGGCTACGTTTTAGTTGGTGTTTCAATAAAGATCGGGCAGGACTAAGGTCTCTTTGGCAGTGGTGCAATACCAAAAGTGGATTTTGCTCTTCACACTTTATCTGAATGGGGAGTTTTGATTGCTTTGAGAAGCAAGATCAGTTACCTTCCCTCCCCACACCATTCTGTGTTCTTAGATAAACTTCAGTTTTCTGGAACCATCAGTTAAGACAGTGTCTTTTATGTGTTACTGTTTTATCTACTGAAGAGCAGGAATTATTCTTCCTTGTTCATGTTTTAGCATGGGTGGCTCCCCTTTTGAAGAAATATTAAAAAGGAAATAAAGTGACCATTGATGTGACTGCACCTAACTTAATGTTCCAAAAATCACTCAAAACCCCTGTGTTAGTAAGTACCAATATAATGATTATTACTTTCCAGAACCTTGTTTTGATAGAACTGACGTCTTGTACCAGAGATAGCTTTGTAATCAGTTCAATTTGACTTGTAGTAGAGAAATGAGACATGTTTTTCAATTGTAAGCAAGAATAGTTTCATTTTGAAGGGGTTACGTCACACGCTGTTTGTACTTGTTGAAGTTGTTTAAATAAGCCTCAGTAAATTCATTCTCACAGCACCTGTGAGATTACTGAGTTTTATTCTGGGTGAAGAAATCAAGACAAAAAGTTGTTACAGTTTTTTTGTTTACTTTGGAGTTCAAATAGAAGTCACTAAATGCTGGTGATTGAGGGTCTAGTCAAACTTGATGTGTTTCAATGGGAATATTCCTGTTGACCAGTGTGAAAAGGGGACCAATTTCTAGACTGGAGAAGGGCGTGAGTGCCCTTTACCTTCTCTGCTCTCCCCATGAGGCTGCCCAGCAATCCTGACATGATTGCTCCAGTCTGTTTGCTTTAGAGGGAGGTAGTTTGGCCAAACTGTGCTGTAAGGAATAGCAGGAGAGGTAATGGCTGCTTCCCTGGCAGCAGCCCTGGATTTCACACCTTTTAAGTGTACCTGTGTTTGCTCCTTACAGCTGGCAAAAGCTTTGACCACAAGCAGCTGGAGGCTGGAGAAGAAAAATTAGACTTCACACTGAGTTCACCAGGTGTGGTCCTAATTTCTGAGGCCAGTTTGCACTGTCCATATAACACTATACAGAAGTCAAAATGTGTTGTAGCTTTGAGACTCTTCAAAATGTTATTCTGGGACTTTGTATCTTGGTACCAAATCTCATCAGTTGGTAGCCCTTGGAATTTGGTTTCCCATTGTGTTTGGCCTAGGGCACCATTGATGTTTTACAGAATGAATGAGATCATGTCCTGATGTCAGCAGGAGTAATTGAGTCCCAAAATCCAGCCCCACTTGCAGCATTCCTGAGTCTCTGGTTATCTAACAGGTTAGAAAACCCTCTGACGTTGTTTGCCAGCACATGTTTGGTAACAGCCTCATGGAACTGAGACCTTTCTTATGGGATTAATTAGGTCTTGAAAGAGCAGAGTTGCTCGGATGGATGGATGGATGGATGGAGAAGATCTAGTCCTGTGTGTGGGATGTTGGAATGGTTACCTCTGGCAGTATTTCTCTTGGGCTTGGATTTTGTTTTCCATCCAGGACGAACTGTGAAATTCTGGCTACACGGGGCAAATATAATGCTTTGTGCATCTGTTTTAACTCAAGATAAATGAGATACAATATTTACAAAGTACTCAGCATACAAGTTTGCACCCAAAGTTCATTGAAAATGTGTTATGTGCCCTGCATTCAAACTTCTCTTATTCCCATTGCACTGGTGTTGATGTAGATCTTCTGACTGAATGACCATGGATTTCTTTTTGGGGAGTATGGCTTGGAAAAGAAGCTCATGAAGCGAGACCTCCTCAGCTGTTGTCCTGTGTTCTTACCACAGCCTCTGCCTGCCAGACCCCGCGAGCCCCGTGACCTCCAGGTCCTGTGTCGTCCCCAAGGACTGCGCCACGTCCGAGTGGTCGCCGTGGAGCCGCTGCTGGCGCAGCTGTGGCTGGGGCAGCGTGGCCGCGGGGCTGCGCAGCCGGCGCCGCCGCGTGCGGAGCGTGCCCGTGGGCGCTGGGGCGCCCTGTCCTGAGCTGGAGGAGAGGGAGGCCTGCTCTGCAGGAGGGAAGGCACCGCTGCAGCCCTGCCCCAGGTATGGCCAGAGATGCTTCTACCCCGGATTTTGGAGGTAAAGAAGGCCCTGCATTTCCTCCCTGCTCGGTTTGTGCATGGAGAGGGGTGCAAGTGGTGCTTTCTCCATGTTGGAGAGGTCATCGATTCGGTCACCACTGTTAGCTGGGATTATTGGTATTATTTATTGTTACTAATACTCTCTTTCAATTATTGCTATTTTCATTATTCCCATTACAATAATTACAGTTAAATTTATTTCTGCACATGAATTGGACCCATTACATTTCATATGTAGTTTACGTTTATCATATTTTAAAAACTGAGAGCAGTCGCTCTTGCTCTCTGAAGTGGCTTTTGTCTTGATTGCTGTTTCAGAGAATTTCATGAGCTGTGCAGAGACTGGGCAGGTATAGCCAGAGATGCTTCTCCCCCAGGTTTTGGAAGTAAAGAAGCCCCTGCATTTCCTCCCTGCTCGGCTTGTGCATGGAGAGCAAGTGGTGCTTTCTCCATGTTGGAGACATCATCGATTTGGTCATTGTTAGCTGTGATTATTGGTCTAATGCTCTTTTAATTATTGCTATTTTCATTATTCCCATTACAATAATTACAGTTATGTGTAGAAATAAATTTGAATTGGACCCATTACGTTTCATATGTAGTTCACATTTATCATATTTTAAAAACTGAGAGCAGTCGCTCTTGTTCTCTAAATGGCTTTTGTCCTGATTGCTGTTTCAGAGAATTTCATCAGCTGTGCAGAGACTGGGCAGGTCTCCATGGCTGAGCTTTTATTGGCTTTGAAATTTTAATTTTTACATAAGATTTAATGATTCGTCTTCATCTCCCCATAAAAAAATCCTAGTCTTGCTTGAGGAAGATGGGAGCTGCTCAGAGGTAATAGATTGGACTCAGCTTCCCTCTGTGTGCTTCTTGAAATGGGAAGCTTGGCAGTCCCTGAGAGCTTGCTTGGTTTGTGGTGTGAAGGAGAGGATCGCACCTTTCTGGTCTGCAAGTCCATTATGCTTGGCCAGGCTAGCAGAGGAGCTCGATAGTGTGCTTTGCTAAGAAAATGAAATGTTGCTTGATTTTTCATGAGACATGCTCTGAGATTGACTGTAAAATGCTTTGGGATTGATAGAATTTTATATGCGTGCAGAAAAATCTCCCTGTCTGTGAATGAGTGTGTTTAATAGGAGAGCTGTTCAGTGCTCAAGTCATGAGTTTCTGGGGCTTTTGCCAGATACTGCCAAAACCTTCTATAAAGCCTTTGCAAGATACATTTCTTAGAAAGGCATCACCTGTAAAAGTGTCTCTGTATCACTGGGCTCATTCAAAATCAAATGCTGATCATTTTTATGCACCCTGCTAGCAGAAGAGAGGAAGTATAAAAAAAATATTCTGTCGCTTGATTACATTCTAAGGAAAGGCTCTTACAGAGTGATTTTTGCTCCTGCCCAAGTGCACATCAATTTCAAAGACAATAGATTAACACATTGTCTTGCTGATTTTGTACAGGAGCGTGGGTGCAGGTGATTCCTGATGGGGGGAGACTGGCTGGAAGTTAATTAGGGAGTGAACAGACGTGGGTCTGTCCCTGGTTTCTCACTTCCCCTTTTTGACATTGCACAGTATTGAAGGGCAAACGGTTGTGTAGAGCCAGGAGAGCACAAAAGGTGAGAACCTGCAAACCACTGATAATTTTTGTAGGTGCCTCTCTCTCTGTATAGAAGGGAAATCTGTTCTTTCAGTGCTTTGCTGCTGTGCCCAGGTTTTCATGAGCCTGTGAGCTCTGAAACCTTCCCCATCCCATTATGCCTCTCTACCTTGAGGCAGCACCTCCGGGGCAGCACCTGCATGAGTGAGGATGAACTCTAATGTGCTAGCTCAGAAAAATAACATTAAACTTGCAGGTTAATAAAGCCATTTAGCTGAAAATATTAAAAAGTACAACTCTGGTATTTAGTTAATAGTTATTTCTAGGGATGTAATATCTCAAAATGCAGGTGGTAGGCTATGACCTTCTCACACTGTGCAGGAGAATTTTACAGCAGTGCCTGGTTACTAGACTTTGATTGATTCACTCTGTATAAAGAAACAAGCGAGAATGAAAATCCATAATATTGCAGTATGTGCTGTGTCTACTGGATGTAAGGCTGTGGGGACCAGGATTTTGTATTAATGAACAGAAGTAAGAAAAATGTATGTTATTTAGGTTTCAGCAGTTGGTAAAGGTTGCTATTGGTCCATATTTCAGTTTGCAGCCTGGTGATTTGGTGTTGGTCCTTGGGAATTGGTGACTGAGCTACTGGAAATAGCTCAGATTGGAAATCAGCAGCTTTCCAGGCATAGAGAGATGTAGTGTTAATCCTTGTGAAATAATACAAAAAACTTTAGATGTTTCTGTTCTCCTTATTTGACCACATTCTCTTTGTAGGGTAAATGTAGAAAGATTATGCTTTTTCCTCAATTAATATATGCCATTTCATCTGTAGTTTGCTGAGGCTTGCCAAACAATGACCTTTTCTTTTTACCCCTTAAATGAAGATGATGAATTTAAGGAGCTTCAGTAGCAGAAATAAAAGAGGCTCTCCTTCATTTGTCTGGTCTCAACACAAACCACTCCTTCTTTTTTTCTGTTTGCCTAATCAGATTAGGTTTTAAATCCTTTAAGGTAAGACTGCTGTTTACTTTCCAAGTTCCTACAAAACATCTCTTTTTTTTAGCTTGATTTGGGAACAAGTAGTCTCTCCTTTAGTTTTAGGGCAAGAATTTTCTACAGCATGCTTCAGCCATAGCAAAGAAAATGGGCTAGGACATAGACCAGAACAAGTTGCTGAGCAGAAGGAAAGGGTTTAACAAAAAATTAATATTATATTTAGAAGACTATTAGGAAGTAATTCTTCATTGTGATGGTGGTAAGTTGCTGGCACAGGGTGCTCAGCAAAGTTGTGGCTGCTCCAACCCTGGAAGTGTCCAGGGCCAGGTTGGATGGGGCTTGGAGCCACCTGGGATAGTGAAAGATGTTTGTGCCCTTGGCAGGGGGTTGGAATGAGATGATCTTCAAGGTCCCTTCCAGCCCAAACCAGTCTGTGATTTTTATGATTTTCTAGAGGCTGTTTTTAATGCAGGGGCAGAGAGCACCCCTGACTACATGAAGGCACATAGTGTGGGCTTCATCCACTGACATGAAAAAGCAGCAGCTTAAGAGGTTGCAGAGTTGTACTCCTCAGAGAGAAGTGGGTGAGGTTGTGTTCCAGTCTCCTAAAAGGCTCCAGAGATGACAAAAATACTTTAAGCCTCAGAACTGCTCAGTTAAATATAACCTCTATGCCCATGGCAAAGCTACAAGTTAAAGGTCCCATCACAGGTAGGTGGCACAGGTGTAAATTTGCTGTTAAATGGGAAGGGCTTTTAATTTTATGGCTGAAGTTCACAATAACATCTATAATCAATAGTCTAAATGCAAGAAAATAAAACACTTTAACTGCATATAAGACTCCAGAGCTTTGTGCTTTGTTTTACCTTTGGTTATTTGTTCTGAAAGGATTAAGTGCTTAAAAAGCTTAAACACATAGGAGGTGATTCTACTTTCTTTTATTGTGATATAAATTTGGGATAGTTCAATTAAAGTGAATGGGTATATACAGGTATAAAACTTGGGTAAACACTAAGAGCATAAGTCCTATAGACTAAAGAGACTGAGGGTTGCTGTAAATCGGAAAGATATTGAGCCCTTGTTTGTTTCAAAACTGTCACCAAGTCATGAGTTTTAAAACAATGTATTATATCTTTTTTATCCTTGATCTGTTGCTTTCATGTTCACTGGGAATAGATAGATTTTCCAGAATTATGATTATGTCTTCATATCATTTATTTTGGTTGTGGTTGCTACGTTACGAGACAGGGATATAGCAGAAACTCTTTGCTTTGTTGGAAATTCAAAGCTTTTCAGAAGTTAAATGATGGAAAATGGGAATGTTTTAAGACTTGATTTTTTAAAAAAGGTTTATTTCTGAGATACAGGTGTGATGGTATTACTTTGTAAATGAGGTTTATTATGCCCAAATTAAAGATAAGGTATTTGGTGTGAAGTAGTAAAGACTGGAGAGGAAGTGCAGTGAACTGTGCTCAAAGGCTCTGGAGTTACACTTGGGCAGTGCCCTTCAGCCCTTTGACCTCCTGGTGGGCTTGTTAATGGCTATGGAAATGTGTCCCTTTTTATGCCTGGAGGTCAGGATTTGTTTTTGGAGCACTGGACATGTGCAGGTGGGAGCAGACAGGGCTGAGGCTTGGAGCTGGTGCCAGTGGCACTCTGGAGGGCTGTCCTTGCACATGCCCACACAAGTTACTCTGGGAGAATATATAAAGGATTTTTTTTTTCTTTTTAATTCAAGAGCTGATGAAGTTTAATTATCTCTCTGAGCTCAGATTTAGTTATTTAGCATAATTTTAATCACCGATGGCCTAATTTTCATAGGTGTTAATTCCCGCAGCTCACACTGAATAGGAGAAGCAGATGCTCACACCTCTGGAAATGAGTCTTTAGGATCTAGAGTTCACAGCTGACTTCCTAAATCAGATATTGATAATGAGTTTTACCTTAGTCCATTTTTGTTTTAAGAAATACTTCTTTAAAACAATTATGTCCATGGCTGTGGAAAGATGCATGTGTTCTAAATTTAAGATTTTAATTTCAAAAGTAGACCTGAAAAGCAGAGTTCTGAAGGGATGTGGCGGAGGAATCCCCTTCACCTGGTGTTTGCTGAAGAGCACTCTTCATTGCCTTTATGGTTGCATTTAACACTGCAGGCCCAAGGAATGGGATTAGGAATTCCCAAAAGGAACTAGCGAGAAGAGGAATTCATGACTGTGCTTTATATGTTGTGGGAGTTAGGTATTTGATACTTGTCATGTGAAAAGCGTGCTCTTTATTATTTTCTTTGGGGGTAATGAACCCTGTGAGTGTATCCAGATTTGCACAAGATGCTGTGAGTTATTTAAGAGAGTGTGACAGCTCATCTGAACAGTACCTGTAAATGCAAGTGATTGGCAGTATTCACAAATGTTTTTTGTGAATACATTACAAAATTTGGGGCCAAAAAAAAATCATTCACAAAAAAAATTCATTCACAAAGTAAGTTAAGAGAACACGTGTACTCTAACTAGGGTGTTTGTTTTTCATATAGTTTTGAGATGCAGGTTTGCTTGCCATAGCTGTGAGGAGCAGATACTGTGGAGAATAAACAGAATTATGATGTGGAAGGCTTTTTGTGCAGAGACACCCCACTGTGTTTGAGTTTACAGTGATCAGTCAGCAGTTAAGGAGCATATGTAGTTTTAACAACTGTGGATCTGCTGTAAAAGGAGAGTATTTGTCTTGAGAATAAAGGAGGGAAATTATTTTACATAGTTTATATTACACAAAGCCCAAAGATTCTGTGGTAAAAATAAACTAGGAAATTTAGAGGAGTGGAGGCATAAAGCAGCACAAGTGTGAACAGATTGGTTATAAAAACAGTATTGCCTGAGATTTGTGTTTGGGAAGCTTGGGAAGACTTTGGGCTCTTATTTATTTACTCCTCTCAGACTGTGACCTGTGAATCAAAGTGAACTCTGCCTGTGGAAACATTTGTGTTAGAAGTATGCTCTGCATTTTCAGTCATGATGGGGAAATAAATTCTGCTTTCCATGGATAGACAGCACTGTTTTCCCTGTGGTTTTAATAAGTTCTTCCTGGCATTTAAGCTGATACACACCAACAACTGTTGTCTGTACAGCATTCACCTACCTGTGTCCCAAAATGTCGTAATTCCTTGAGAACCTTTAATGCTCTTTAGGTGTGAGTGGAACATAGAATGAAAATATTTTTTGTCTCGAGCTTGTTGTGTTTCACAACTTGTGGAAAATGGAATTAACTGAGAGGCTTTAGCCAATCCCTTGAAGGAACTTGCTGGACCTTGGGCACATGGAAAGGTGCCCCCTGTGGAAAAGCTGCAAGCGCTTGGAGCTCCATTGACAAATGCAGGATTTCAGCTGTTAGAGGCGTTTCAGAGCGAGGTGTTCAGCTCTTGGCACAGAGGGGTGGTTTAGTGCTTTGAGACACATGTTTGAAAACTACTGTTCACACTTAATCAAACCTCTTAATCTTCACTCATTTTTTACTCTGTGCTCAGAGGTGCTGTCAGGATGATTTAGTGCTTCAGAACGCTTTGGAGATTGGTGCTCTGTCAAAAGTTTTACACAAGTGCTCCAGACAAATAGCACATACTTAACCTATGTAAATTTAACACTCAAAATGTTTCCAAACCTTCCCTGTTTTGGATAGGAAAGTGCTGCTATAAAGATTAAACCAATTGTATTTTGTCATCTAATAGAGTACCTCTACTTACCTGTAGTCTTTCAAAACTAATTTTACCTGTTTTCTTTCTGTTCCCAAAGGTTTGCCTGGAGGACTTCTGAATGGAAAGCTTGCCAAGTGTCTCTGCTCCTTGACCAGCAGGAGCCTCAGCAGCAGAAGCAGGCAGGGCTCTGTGGAGGTGGGATCCAGACACGGGTGGTGTACTGCGCCCAGATCGTCGTGGAGCTGGGGACACACCGGCCCAAGGAGGGTGCGTGTGCAGGGGCACTCTGAAACGCTGGCCTGAGTGCATCTCAGTGGGAGAAACAGCAAGAAAAAAGTTAAAAACATGGAGTCATTGGTGGTCTTTAGCTTGCTGGTGCCCTCCTGGTGTCCACGCTCACACAGGGAGGTGCTGTGGGCACCAGAGGGAGCCCTGAGGAGCTGCCAGGAGCCGCAGCCTCCGGGGATGAATTGCTGCCAGTTCTGTTGTTCGCTTCATTGGGAGAGTTACAAAGGATGAAGGAACTAAATTATGCTTGGAGTTGACTTTTCTTCTTCTGTCATATATCAGGAAACCCAGCCCCTTGGTAGCTGAGTGCACTTATCTGTAGTGTAGTCTTAGTTTAGAATATAAAACAGGTTGTCACACACCATTCCGGATATGGCTTTAGCCTCTGCTTCAGGTTGATACACAATCTTTCTTGTGATTTGAAGGGGAAAGCAAAAATAATATTGTCACAACTTTTGAGCAGACAGACGGGTTTTGGACACTGGAAGTGAGTTATATTTCCTTTAGAAGAATAATAAGTAGTTACAGATTCACAATGAATAATTCATCATAGGCTGTTTTATTTACTCAATGTGGTGCTCTTGCAGAATGTGTTTTTGAGCTGAGATGTAAGATAATAACAACACAGTATTGTATCTTAGATTTTTTTACTTAGAGAGGAGAAGCAAGAGTTTCCTGGATGCCCAGTGTGTGTCCCAGCATCCCTCACATACTCTGAGGTCATGGAAAACCAGGCCTGTTTTTATTCAGTCCATGCACAGTGGCTGATTCACCTCTCCCAGACATCTGGCACTCCTGTGCTCTCCCAGCACAACTCCTCTCTCTTGTTCCACACAAGTGTGGACTTTCAGAGTTAGCAAAGTGCTGTTGATAAAAGGTGTGTGGCATTTATTGACTTTCTTTATCCTTCTGAGCTCTCCTGTGTTCCTTGCAGCCACTGTGAGGCAGGTTGGTGAGCAGAGAGCTTGAACTGACTTCATTCACACTTTATACTTTGTCAGAATTGTGAATTTCTCAGCAAGACTAGAGGAGTGCCTCTGAATTCCTTGAGCATTTACAGATCTCATGACCAGAGTGGTGCTGCATACCCAGTGTGTGACCTACCTGCAGATTTTTCCCTTGCTCAAAGTTCAGTTCAGCTTAAAAGTTGCAAGCCCTCTCCTCAACTAAAAAAACCCCACAAACCCTGGGATATGTCTTCCTTGTATTTACACTTCTAATCTTTAAAAGAAAAATTCATATAGTCAGCTGGAAAAACCCAGCTGTGCAGAGCAATTGTACTAGTTGTAAACTATTACAGTAATTTCAAAGCAGTAGTGCAGATGTACAGTAATGCTTGGAAAGTGAAAATCCCATCTACTGTCAGCACAGTGACATGCAAATGGAACAGGGAAAGCCTTCCCTGTTATCCCTCCTCATCCCATCCTCATCATAATATTCAGTGTGTCTCATTTACTAGCTGACTAATTTTTGTTCTTTGAATAAATAAAGAATTACATATTTTTTTGCTTTTTTCGTTTGGCAGTCAGAACTGGCAGAATGGTTTTATTTATCACTATCTCATCTTTTACTGTACCAATTTTCCAGTGATGAGAAGATGAAGAAATTATTTCTCTATGTATAAGCAAATATAGTGTCTAATTGCTACCATCAAAAGCACAGTAATTTTTCTTTCTTCACCTCTTGAGTGTCCTTAAAGAGATCATTCAGGAGTCAAACAAGCAAGTCTAATGGAACATTACCATCCATCACAGTTGTTATTCTTCTGGTTACTTCCAAAGAGAATTTGGAGCTGGGCCCAATGACATATGTGAAAGAAGATTTTGTCCCGTGGTCTCTCCAGCAGCATTCTGGGATACAATATGTTGAATCCTAGTTGGAGACAGGTACCATCTGTGATGTGTTTATACATACTGCTCAAAGCTCTTTTATCCCCCAAGGATGTCTCTCCCATTTTTTTATTTGCCTAGTCTTCCCATCTATTTCTTCTTTTATTAAAATGTGTGTTTGGAAAGGAAGCACCTGTTTCCTTGAGCCCCTATATATCAGCTGTTCAGAAGGTTAAGTCGACTGAAATCTTTCTGTATTTTGATTATAAGGTTCCAACTTGAAGACACTGAAAATGGAAAACTCTCACTCAGGTATTACTTTAAGAAATGCATTGATAAGATTTCATATTTTTCTCCCCCAAGAGGTGACCTAACTAAGAAATCCCCGTCTTGTTCCAAGTGAAGTTATATGTTTCCTAAGCCTTGAGGAGGATGTTCATGCTATTAATATGAGTATTTGGAAGGAAAAGATATTGCAGTCTTTGAAGTGCTTGGTAATATTCCTGCATTCTGAGGCTGTTACAGCTGAATTTACATTGGTATATGTGTAAAGTGCTGTGCAGTTCAGAGGTCTGTGAATGTAGGTAACCCTAAGTGAAGAGACTGTGCTGGTTTTAATGCTGACTGTTCTGTCCAAGGAGTCCAATCCCTCCTCACCTGGGAGGCTTTTGTTAATTTAGGCTGAACTTTAACATGATTACATTTCTACAGATTCTGCTGTCTTTAAGTATCTAACTGAATTTTAAGGTTTGAATTTATAATGCTTAATTTTCACAAAGATGTTGTAATCTAGTAATTCCAGAGATGGAAGTAGCAAATCTGTGTGTTTGAAATGATGTTGCTTTTAAAGAGGAGACACATTTTGCACAAAAAGTAGCACAGAATATGGAAGTGAGCTGCTTGTGGTACAGCCCTTTCTGCCCTTCAACTGTGATACTCCTTCATCCCTGTGCCTGGAATCCCATTTTTGGAACACAGTGTAGGAATGGTGGTGACCACCCTTCTTTGTACTTCTTTTTAAAATTAAGTCTGTTCACTCATATGAAAACTCTCTTAAGCAAAGTAGAGATGCACATTTATTTTGAAAGCCAGACACTGCTACCATAGGACAAACATGCTTTCTTCTCCTCTGTAAGTGGGCTTACAAAAAGAGAAAAGATTTTTGGGGTTTTATGAAATTTTATCTGAAATGTATTGTTCCATAATAAATTTTAATTGATCTGGGTGAATATCACTAACTAGCAATCCTCAGTGTATTAACAAAAAAAGACATCTGGTATTGAAGAATATTATGCAACAATCTGTTTATGAAACCTCTCCTTGTTTGGCAGTACAGCTCTCCTCTCAATAAATTATTCCAGTGATATGGGAATGAAAATTTCTCTTAGAATCTGGGACTGGTCTGTATTTATGTTCAAACAGTTAATAAACATATGTAGTTCCTAGATTTAATTTTCTTTTTACCTTCTTTTCTGAAGACCAGGGAGTATCTTTCTGTTTTCTAATTAATTTTGCTTTTTGGCTTTATCTGGAAACTATATCTCTTTCTCAGTAGTCTGGGAGATGGCAGTCTCTATAAAATACTCCAGAAGTATTTCCTCTCTTCTCTGAACTACTTACCTGCTGTCTCTAGTGGCTGGGATTGCTGCTCTTTCCATATTTTCTGTAGGTTTCTAACTAGGGTTCTGTCTGCCCTGTCATTCTTCCATAAAATTTGTACCTTATATATCTTGACATTTTTCCTTTTTTACTTGTTTGAATGAGATCAAATTCACATCTTTGCTTTCAGAATTTTCTTATAGTGTTTTGGGAGCCTGTCTGCTTAAGTTTTAATTATAGGACTGAAAAGACCTTTGAAATAAGGCTTTGCTTCCTTGAATCCTCTTTACTGTTTACTCTGCATAGTAAATTTGGCTAATAAAATGTATCTCTTACTACCTGCTCAGCAGAAATCATTGCAGGTTCCTGTCTTCTTAATCTTTGTTATTACATCTGAAAATCCACATAAAATTCTCATGCCTGTGCAAGGCTCTAAAGTTTTGTTTACGTTTTTTTGCTTAATGAGTTTATCATATTTGTCTCCATGTATTTGTTTTTATTTGAGCTTTAATTTCAATAGCAGGTATGTGACACAGTTGTGCCTTCATTGTTGTTGGACAGCTTTTAGTGTTACCCTTCAAAACTATTTTGTGCAGAAGTCTCTATTATTTTTATATTCCTCTTTCCTTTGAGAGACATTCAACCCTCACCTGTTAGCAGACATAGTACCTTGCCTTACTCCCCTGCAGTTCCCCAGCCTATCCTAATTTTTGCTTTATTTTTAGGATACAATTCCACCTGGTTCATTTTACATCAGATTGGTTTTTTATAAACTTGTGTGTCGCCAGCTGTAGCAGCAAAACCTCCTTTAGTCTGTTTACAGCTGAGGACTTGGAAAATCCTCAAGTACCTGTTCAGGTCTAATGGTTACTCTCTGATCCATCCCTCTGTGTATTCCCTTATGTAGTTTTGTCTTACAAGCCCCTTTACTGGCAGAATCACAAAATGGTCTGAAGCTGAAACTGGTCCCCTGTACTTTCATCTAAGTCCTACTTCTACGAGTCTCAAAATGATTATTTTATGGCCTTTATGCATTCTTGTTTTCCTCAAAATATTGAACTTTCTCCCTGCTGCTGATAGACAAAATTGCCCATTCCTTTCTTATCTGATGAGTGGTTTTTTCAGACTCTTCTTGATTCCCATATGGGAAATATTTTGGCCTTGTGTTTTGTTTTTCAGATATTGGTGCCTTTTTAGACTTGCACAGAGATTGATTTGAGGAGTCCTTTCATAGATATGTTATTCTCTATTTATTTTCCTCCCTTTCTTTCTGCCCTATTGTCTTATTTAGCTCCAAAATGTGCTGTTTTACCTCCTTTGCTCTGTTTGGTCTGCTTCCTAATGAGGATGCCACAATTTTTTCCCTGCAAGCTCTTTGTTCTGCTCTGAATCATGACCTTCCAATGTGTGTCTCCTGGGGGATTAGTGTTTCAAACTGGTGCATGTGGCATCTGTTCAGTAAACTCTGGTTTTGGGAAGAGGACAGTGCCAGTGGAAAGCCCAGTTTGAACATTCCACCATCCCTTTTCTTGTGGAGCGCCAGGTCCAACT